TCTATATAAACATTTCAGATCTAATTAAAAAGGTGTTGTTCCAACTATTGTCCTGTGTTCTTAAATGTAGAGGTAACTGTTTTTTTATATCCCTGCTGTTTCTTTGCAATTTTTCCTTTTAGACTTTGAGAAGAGAATGAGTCCATAGTTCTTATCATGTTCTAAAAGGGGCTCATCCTTCCCCAAAAGATTGAGAACTACATAACTAAGGCAATATTTGAGAACTTGGGCAGCTGATACCATTTGGAGCAGCTGGTCTGCTATCCTGACAGGCAATTTGAGACATGAGCTCAGGTTTAGCAGGCATGATAAAGCTCTTTCATGTTTGGCAACCTGGCCTCTTGGAGCAGGAAGCCCCATTGCTCAAGACTGGAGCCCTCAACTGGAAGGAATGTTGTGGTTGATCATTCCACCGTTTGGGTGGTTGGAGCAGTGTGCATTTGCTGTGGTAGTCTTGAAGTGCTCTGTTTTTTTCCCTTGTACTCCTTCAGACAGTTCTGCCACAGCTGTTCCTTGCTAGCAATTGTTCTGTGGCCAGGCAAGGAGCTTTTTTCAATACTAATAACTGAAGTATGTCTGGCAAAGTTGTACAGTTCTGCATTCGTATGCTGTGTCTGCATTGCCTTTTGTTCCAAAATAGTTACTCTTGATTTTTGATTGGATAGCCAATGAGTAGGACATTCAGAAGACTCACACTCTATGGATGGTCACGTATTTTTAAAATTATTGATGTGATCAATGAAGTATATCCATTTTTCTGTTTATTCATCACAACATATTCCTCTTAATGTAGGAGGTGATGAATATAAATATTAAAACGTGGAGAACATTATTGTATTGCGAACCTTCATTTCTCTTATGATAAAGCGGATTACATTATTTTAATAAAAATTGTTTGATAATAGTAGTATAGTAATATATGTAGTAATAAGACATGTAAAGGTTTGAGTATCATTCCTCCAAAATTTTTGGAATGCCTGTATTTGCATATAGATACATTATAGACCAAAAAGTAATGCAGTTATATACTCACAATAATTATCTCATATCTATGCTTATAATACTAAAACATTAAATATCCTGGCATCTACTACAATGTATACTACATGCAGTTCTCTAAACCAAAAGATTTCCTTATATGGGATAAACAGCTAATTCTTACAGCCAAATGCACAGGTTTGTAGGTTCTTTTTGAAAACCAAAAGTTTGTCAATAACAAATCAAAGTTTGTAAGTCTTTTTTGCAAGTCTCTTAATCCAGAGCTTCTTGATGTGGGTACAAGGCTGATTCCTCCAGCTGAATGTACAAGTTTGTAAGTCCTTATTTTAGACCAAAGTTTGTCAACAGCAAAACACAATATATCAGTCCTTTTTTAGAATCCATAATTTATAAACCACAACCGGTTTCGACTACGTGGAGTCTTCTTCAGGTGGTAATTGATACAGGTGTAGAAATCCACAAATGATAAGTTTTGCAAAGTGGAGAATTCTTCAAGTAAAGTCAATATATGATTGTCAACAATGATGTGGACCTAAAGGGAACACATTTGAGTGGCTGAACATAGTTTAGGAAAACAATTACCAAATGTAGTGAAAGCATACAGAACAGAAACCAAAAATACTCACGTAGGTTCTCCTACAAAGGTGCTCTGCTATTAGTATGATTCTATGGCAATCCCAGGAGAAGCAGGTGGAAACGCCAGTATATAGAGAGAAACTTAAAGTGTATGAAGAGAAATTTAAAGGGGCCCGTGATAGCTATCGGTGTGGGTGTATCCTAGTCATCAATAGTAAGTTACTCATAAGAAAAACCTGTTTAAAGGGGCGTGTACCGGCTCACATAAAACATTGAAATGAAATGGAATCATTTAGACCCTTAGGATGCACAGTTTTAAGAGTAAAAATCCAGAAGGCTTCATGTTGTTGTAGTCTAGTAGATAAATCCATATTTGAGGAGGATGTAACCACCTCTAAAACTAGGACTCTGAACGATTCCGGACTATGTTTCATGGCATTGAAATATTTATATAGGCTTGAATCAACAGCCTGATTTCTAATTTTACTCTTGTGTTCGATTACACAGAGTTTAATTTGTCTGCTGGTCTGCCCAACATACATCAGGGAACAGGGACATAAAATGACATAAATGACATCTTTAGTGGTGCATGTAGCAAAATGATGCAGTTGGTAAATACTATTTGAGCATTTTGAAAAATCTTCATTTGAATAAATTGCAGACATATGGTGCAATGATGACGAGGAAAATTTCCTTGTAAATTGGGTCTAGTCCTCATCATTTGAGATTCATGGTTGATATCTGAGTGTACCAACATGCTTCTCAAGTTTTGTGTTCTTTTGTGTGCTATCATAGGAGGTTTTTCACAACCTGGTATGTCCCTTATGAGTTGCCAATATTTTTTTACAGTTTTGATCACATAGCTAGAGAAATTAGTTAATGTCAAGGGCCAGACCAATCTGTTGTCTCTGGGCATAGATTTGTTTGCCAGCAGAGTGGTGCGTGGAACTTTGGATGCTCTGATGATGGCATTATCAATAAGATGTCCTGGATAACCCTTGGCCCCCTGGTGGTGTGGTGGGTTAAACTGCTGAGTTGCTGAACATGCTGACTGAAAGGTCAGAGGTTCGAATCTGGGGAGTGGGGAGAGTTCCTGTTGTTAGCCCCAGCTTCTGCCAACCTAACAGTTTGAAAACATGCAAATGTGAGTTGATCAATAGGTACTGTTTCTGCAGGAAGGTAATGGCATTCTATGCAGTCATGCTTGCCACATCACCTTGGAGGCGTCTATGGACAATGCCATCTCTTTGACTTAGAAATTGAGATGAGCACCACCCCCCAGTGTCGGGCACAACTAGACTTAATGTCAGGGGAAACCTTTATCTTTACCTTTACAATGACAGAGCAGTAGTGAATGGATAATGCGTTTCTTTCTAGTAAGACCTGCCAGGATTTCTATCAAGGTTGATCAGAAATCCACATTTAACATTATTCTTTTTATATATTTAATTTCCTGTCCTGATAAACAAATTTGCTGTAACTTTCTCAGAAGTTCATGAATTCCTCCTTAGCTTTTAATCTTCTGAAGGATGGAAAAGGGGAGACTGGCAGATGACTTAGTCCTTTGATTTACGAGGAGATCACGTAGTGGTTCTAAAAACCTGGCTCTGCTTAATCTGGAAAAGCTCAGCAGTGATTGTGTTAAATTAGGAGGACAGCACTTAATTCTTGGAAAGTGAGCTTTAGTAATCCAGATATCCACAAAAGAGCCCTGTCCTGAGGTCACATGGGAAAAAGCCAGTCTCTTGCAGGTTCGGTAGCTTATTGATTGCAACTATGCTTAAATTCTCAAGGTGGACTTAGGCATTCATTGTATTAAAAGCTGCTGTCTTTCCATGACTACATAAATACAAACTCCTACAGTGTCATGATAATAAGTATTTTGGAATATTGCAGCTGTTTACTACAGACAAACAGCTCCAGTATATCTCTGGTATATTGTAGCCTGATAACTCCATAAATAATCAGTTTTAGATTGATTTGTAACTCACATTAAGTAATCAAAATTAGGAATATGGGTATAGACTTTGCTGTGCATGACTGCTGTTTTGTATTTCAACCATTTTTCAATTTTTCATTTTTCAATTGTGTCTGTGATGTTAGACTGCTTTTGCTAGACTTCCTTCTTGTTTTGACAACTATCTAAATTCTGTTTTGTTAGCTTATCTTTTTTCATTTGTAACATTTACACCTTTCCCATAATAAAAACCTCTGGGAGGCTGCTAACATGAATGATAAAAAAAAAAAATAGTTTTAAAGCACAATGACATTACATGGATCAATACCTATTACATTCCTCTAAAAAAGCTTCCCCCAACTTCATTCCCTCCATATGTATTGGATGGCAGTTTCCATTATCTACAACTAACATGTCTGCCATTTGCATGTTGTTGTCTGACTCACTTGGAAGGATAGTGCTTGGGTGACGTATTCCGTAGGCGTGTGGGAAAATCTCTAGTCCCTACTATTATGATCTACCCAAGACGTGAGCTCATTCTGCAGCAGAGTTGTCATTGGGCAAAGTGATTCATATCAGAGGAAGTGTTCCCCGTGGATAAAAGACACATGGTGTTTGGGAAATGATTGATTTTGCAAGTTATATTTTGCAATGGATGCTAGTGCCCATGTCTGTACATACTGATTAAAATGTAACAAGTGGCAATTCTGATGTAATAATTACCCCTTCCCCCCAAACAAAAACAACAACTAGATTATTAGTTTATTCTGATTCTCTTTCGTCATTCTGAATTTTTCTCCCCAAAATCCATGATACTGTTATTGGGCCAACTCCAAAACATAAAATGGATTATACAAATGTTTGAAGCTTCACTAGCTTCTTCATCAGAAGTTTAAAATCATGCCTTCTTGATGATGAAGGCAAAGAAACTTCAGGCGCTTGCATAATTCTTTGGAGTAGCCCCAATAAAATATTACTACTTCTGGGTTTTGTATTTTGTTGCATGGCCAACATGCAATATATTTCTTTCGACATTAACAGTTTTGTATTTTTATAGAAATTTCATGCTCATTGGTGGTTACGTTCACTCGGGACCTCATCACACTAGAGAATGAATCCACTTTAAATTCGGTTTCTGCCTCCTGAAGAATTCTGGGGTTTGTAGTTCAGGGAGGAGCATTTAACAACCTCACTAAACTACAAAATCCAGAATTCTGCAGGAGGCAGAAATCAGATTAAAGTGGTTTCATTCTCTAGTGTGATGAAGTAGTTGGAGAAGGATAACATATAGTTCTTGAAGATGAAATTAGGCAATCAGAATATCCAAAAGGGAGATGTGTTCATGGCTTTGTTTCATATTTGTGTTAGTATATTTGCATTGCTTGCCACCTACAAAATTCTTGAACGTACTGGATATAAAATGATGAAATAAATAGATACTGAAATCTGTATATATTTTTCTTTTTAGCACATCCTCGTTGCCTCCCCTGGACTGGCCTTTGCCTACGCAATACGGACAGTGTGAATTGAAAATAGAAGTCCAACCAAAAACACACCATAGAGCACATTATGAAACAGAAGGCAGTAGAGGAGCCGTGAAAGCATCCACTGGTGGGCATCCTGTAGTGAAGGTAAGACGTTGTTATACATCTCCACTGCTTCCCTAACAACCACGGTGCAAGTGGTGTGATACATATCCTCAGCATCACCTTTATTTCCCTTTCTTGGGAAAAAGTGACTGTCTGCAGCTTGAAAAAAGAGAAGGCCATGCTTTCTGTCTTAAAATAATTGCAAGTTATTTTATTAATTAAAATAAAAGCCTTATTTCTCACTCCTCTAGCTTATAATGGTAACTGAAAGGAGGCAGTAAACAATTTAAAGGCAAGGAATGTGGATTGTATTGTCTTCCTTTTATATAATTATTTATTTTATTTAGACAAATTAAAGCAAAGCCTACATGCAAACATACAAAAAAAGCAACTTCAACAAAAAAATAAGATTAAAAATACTTTTTCTAGAATACTGCTACATTCTAAACATAAAGAAACCCAAAAAACTACAAATAATCTATTCTAAGGGCTTTAAATTTTCTGTCTGGTGGCTATATTCTCTCAATTTTCTACACCTATTTAGTGAAAGGAAACTATTGGTACATCCCTTCTCATATAGTAACACTCTTCTAGTCCAAAACACCAGTGATGGAGATTTGGCCCCATCTTTGCTGGAGGAACACAATAAATGGCCCCCAGACTTTCTTAAAGTTAGAGATTTTTCCTTGATCAATTGGATATTTTCATAAGCCAATTGTCTTGTGACAGAATTGCTGAGTGGATTGTATTTTTTTGGCATTTAAGCAGAGCTTTCCAAACTTTTCGTGTTGCTGTCACACTTTGTAGACATGCATCCTTTCGCGACAGGGGAATTCAATTTTACTAGCGGAAGGTTAAACCAACCCCTTATACAACACACACACACACACGCACACACAAAGCTTCATATAATCTTTACAGATTAAATGGAAGTTTGGATTTTTTTCCTTCACACTTCTTGTATCCTTGGTTGATTTCTGTGTTGTTTTCTCTATACCTGTCCCATAGGGTTAATCACAAACATTATTGTCAACAGGTTTTCTTTTATTAGAAACCGATTCATTTTAGTGGTCATTATTGCAAGTCAATCAATAAATTGTACAGATTATAAATGTTATAACAGTACGTACACTTGAACAGCACTAGCATTCAACTTCTGTAGTGATAAAACTTCTCTGGAGATTTTTAAACGGAGGCAGGATGGCCATCAGTTAGGAGGACTTTGACTGTGTCTTCCTTCCTGGCTGAGAGGAGGTGGACTACATGCCCTTTGGAGGACGCTTCCTCCTCACTCTCCATGGCACTGCCTTTGTTTGAGGAAGGGAGCATTTTTTAGGTGGCACACCTAGGGATTACAGACGACACACTACTGTGTCCCAACACACCGTTTGAAAACCTTTGCCTTTAAGATTAGGCAGCTGTAACGAAGGATCTCGGATAGGCTGAGGTGGGTGAGGTTTGAGCCCCCTGAAATGATCAAGGATCGGAACTATGCAGGAGTCCTGTATAGTTGTAGATTGCCCTTTCCCCCACCATAAACAGTTCTGGGAGCCCTGTTTGTAATTGCACAGGCCAGAGCATACTTGAATTTGTGCTCATCACTTGGTGCTATGCACACAAAGCATTCCCCATTCCCTTTGTGGACAATGCTGATATCTTGAGAAACTTGCATTAGTACTGTTGTATTGTCGAAGGCTTTCGTGGCTGGAATCACTGGGTTGCTGTCAGTACCTTGGGAAGTCTGACTTGGCCACGGTGGTCCATGCTCTGGTTACATCCCGTATAGACTACTGCAATACTCTCTACGTGGAGTTGCCTCTGAAGACTGCCCGGAAGCTGCAACTAGTCCAACGTGCAGCAGCCAGATTACTGACAGGAGCGGGGTACAGGGAGCACACAATTCCTTTGTTACGTCAACTGCACTGGCTGCCAATTAGCTTCTGAGCACAATTCAGAGTGCTGGTGTTGACCTACAAAACCCTAAACGGTTCTAGCCCAGTTTACCCGTCCAAACGGATTCTCCCCTATGAACCATCAAGGTTGCTAAGATCTTCTGGAGGGGCCCTGCTCTCGGTCCCACCACATTCGCAATAGCGTCTGGTGGGGACGAGAGACAGGGCCTTCTCGGTGGTGGCCCCTCGGCTGTGGAACTCTCTCCCGATGAAGATTAGAACTGCCCCTTCCCTCCTGACCTTCAGAAAGCTAGTGAAAGCCTGGCTCTGGGACATAGCATTCCCAGAATAATTGGTTGAGTTCAGCGATAACCTAATAACTACTGATCGCACTGGCGGATTGAGATGAACGTGATTTTATCTTGGCGATTTGGCTTATATGTATTTATTTTGTTTGTATTTTCACTTATTATGATTTTATTATGTTTTTAGTTGTATTTGTGTATTTTCTGTTGTTAGCCGGTCTGAGTTCCTCTACAGAGGTAGAGAAGATCGGGGTATAAAAGTTTTAAATAAATAAATAAATATTTTTTTCAGGCTTCATTCTGAGAATACTGCTGAAACATGGCCATGCAGCTTGAAAAACTCACTGTTGTATTGTTTGCTTTATTTGCAAACATATATTAATGAGCCCAAATGATTAATTCTCTGTTTTTGTATCTGATTGTGCTGTCATGCCAGTTTTGCAAGGGTTTTGGTCTTCAGAAGCATTCTTTGTAAACGAACCCGATACTTCCTGCCAAAAGAGTAGTTTATGTTCAACGTGGACTGTTGAACTGACTTTGCATAAAGTGACAATACACAAGGATTTTCTTGTTTTATAATGGCTGTAAGAGCAAGTTAAATGTTATGCTAGATTCATACACAAAGCCTTTTATAGAGCAGCATTTGAACTGGAGGCATGAAAACAGATCATTTACAGTATTATTCTTGAAATAAGTTGGCTCATTTGGGAATCTGTATATAATCAATGAAAATAAATGTTATTAGAACCTGTTGCTTTATTTAAGCACAGAAAGTGTGTGGCACTGAAAAGGTCCATGCACAACTAAACAAAATGGGCAACAAAGAGGTTTCTTCTTTCTCTGGAGAGCTCTGAGCACTCAATCAATGGTACATTTTTGTGAGAGGACAAAATTGGGTGGGATGTGAGAAATCCATTAATACATATTTTGCCTCTTCAAATTTTTAAGCAGTTGTGTTTATTTTTTAAATTTTAAACTATTACTTTTGGCCCGGCCATACGTTTTTAAATTCTTGTATGTTACTGTTTATTGGTTATTGTTTATATGTGGTTTATATTAATTGTATTGTATTTATTGTTTTGTTTATTGCTTTTTGTTTTTATTGATGTGTTTTTTTTAAAAAAATAATTTTTATTGGTTTATGGTGCATACAAAAAACAAAACCGACACCAGAGGGAAAAAAACCCCAACCCCCCCCCAAAAAAAAAAAAAACAGAAAAGAAGAAAAAATGTATACAAAAGAGTGTGCAAGTTTACAGAATGGTATACAGTCAGTGCTCGTTAAACATATGAAAAATCAACTTTGACTGTATAGTTATTACCTTAACATTTATTGTCCCTCTAACCCCACACCCGTGACCCCAACCCCCATGACCTCCAACACCACTCCGTATGGATCACATAACTAACCCACAACTACCCACATGTCTTCTTTCACTGAATTCCCTTTATGGCGATCTTCAAATCTACTTTTGTCTTCTTTTCGAGATATCCAATTGCCAACCTCCATTTTTTAACAAATTCTTAATAATTTCCTCCTCTGCTGCTATTTGTCAGTTTGGCCATTTGGATATAATCTACTAATTTATCTCTCAAATCCTTAATAGTTAACTCTTTTCCCCCCTTTCATGTCTTAACTATTGTTAGTCTTGCAGCGACAAAACAATACTGACAAATTTCTTTATCTCCTGCGCTAATACGCCTTCTAAATATTTCCAATAAGCACATTTCTGGGTTTTTCTTGATTTTTATGCTAATCATTTTGTTTGTTTGTTTCGCCACTTTTTTTCCAGAATTCTTTGACTATGTTGCAGGTCCACCATATGTGGAAAAAAGATCCCTTCACCTTCTTGCATCTCCAGCAAGCCCCTCGTTCTGTTTTCTCTATTTTTGCTAGTAACTCTGGAGTTATGTAGGTTCTGTAAAACATTTTAAACATATTTTCTCTAATTGAGCTGGCCACTGAAAATCTAACCCCCTTTTTCCAAAGATGTTCCCACTCTTCCAAATTGATATTTCTACTTACATCTTTGCCCCACGTGATCATAACAGTTTTTATTTGGTTGTCTACTAAATTGTATTCTAAAATATATTTGTAAAGCCTGGATATTAGGCCTTTGTTGCCCTTCTCGAAGATACTTTCTAACTCCGATTTATTAGAGGCAAATCCTACTTTTGCATCCTTCCTAAATCTGTCGTGTAGTTGGAAAAAACTGAACCAATCTTTTAACCCAGGTTCTTCTCTGCTTTTAAGAATCCATTGCCATTGTCTTTGACCAGAGTTTTTATTGATGTGTTGCTGGGCTTGGCCTCATGTAAGCCTCTCCGAGTCCCTTGGGGAAATGGTAGCGGGGTATAAATAAAGTATTATTATTATTATTATCATTTATTATTATTATTATTATTATTATTATTATTATTATTATTATTATCTGTGTATCTATGTGTTGGGGAAGTTTGGATCAACTACATATAGGAGAAATAGGGCTGAATTCTTATTCTGTTTTCTATGTGTAAGTACCCTGTAGTGCAGTTTCCTCCTTTGAGGAAAATATAAAAATAGAGTTCCTCCACTGAGCATAAAATAGAGTTTTTAGATTCTGCATAAACCCATTGATTTAGTTCTTTTTCCTCATTTATATTTCATTTTCCTCTTCCACCAAGCTTAAGTAAATGCATGTATCTGTCAAAGAATTTTCTAATTTTTTAAATTGTCTTGGTTGTTTTACATTACATTTTAGAGATCTTTTCATGCCACCAAAGTGATCCACCTGCAGTGCACTCATACAGTTGGAGCTATTGTAGCTTATCCTGTGGTGACCTTCTCTCTCTTTAGCCTTCCAGC